GGATTGCTGAAGAGTCAATGAGTCGATGCAATCAGCTGGTTTTCCTTAGATAGAAAACTTTGAACCTTTAATGTGACGGGATGATCTGGTTGATCTGGATCTGTAAAGTGACATGATGTGGATTGGAGCTATAGAAATAAAGTGAATAGAATTGAAAGCCCCGCCCCTCCAGGAACCAGTGCAGCTGAATTCTGGCTTGATCAGAATAAGTCAAATAATTAAGGATACTTTAGCCACGGTGGTAGTGCATCTCCTAGCAGTGGAAAGGACTTCTAGGAGATCCATTTCTAGAAGGGTAGGAAGCTTCTAGCGTTCAGGAGCGTAGAAAACATGATGAGAGTTTTTACAAAACGAGATTTAGTTTTGTACAGCTTCCATAACAGTTCCATTCTTTAAAGTGCAGCAGGGATCAAATGTAAAGAACTCGGGGAAAACGCACTGATCTGGAAGTTCAGAGCATTAAGATCTATGCTGCAAATCTGCAGTAACTAGTTCTGGTGTCATCAGTGAGATGCAGAGTGATTTAGAGTTTTCTCATCAGTCTGATGGCGGCGGGGAAGAAGCTGCTGCAGAACCTGCGTTGAATGCTGGGAAGCCTCCTCCCAGAGGGCAGCAGACCTTTCAGTCTGGGTTAGAGTTAACCTCTGACTGATGATGCTTCCTGTTGCTACTTAGATCTGACTGATCAGTGACTCACCCAGTGGATCTAATCCCTGCCCTGCCTGCGCTGTGTAACTAACCACACATGGTCACAGCTCTTCAAATAAGATGAAGTTTCAGGACCAAGGAGGTTAGTGGTTGATCAGTTTCTACTCAGAGACTCTTCAGCATCATTAAGCCTGACCTCTGATTGGCTGATCATGTGTTTGACGCAGCCTCAGGGCGCCGAATGGATCCTCTTGTTAGAAAATCTCACAGAAAGAATCTGACTTATTGTCTGAACGTCGGATCTGATCCGAACAAGTCGTCTGTATTCGTGTTTTCCAGAGAACCAAAGTTCTGACTGATCCCAGATCAGTTGGTGATTCCAGTTTCCTCCAGTTTAAAGCAACCAGATTAAAGCTGCTTCACAAACAGGTTTTTCTCTTTTTACACAGATAAAGATTTAAGCTGGAAATCAGATGTAAGTTCTTGTTTTCATCAACGTTTTCACAATGACTGTTTGGTGTCGTTAAAATCTGACGATAACCGTCTCCAAGGCAACCGCTGAGTCCTTCAGCTGTGGTTGATGATGGAAACTGATCCTGACCGCCGTCCCTGTATGACTGATTAAATATTAACGTGTTCCTGTTTTGTCAACAAGAGATTAATAAAGACGGATCATTAAGTCTCTGTTAAGATTTTGAATATAAACTTTATTTTTTGGAAATATTGTTCATACATCATATGTTTTGTTGGAGCCTCTTAAAATAAATTAGAATCATAACCTTGATATGCGAGATGATTTGCTGACTGCAAAAAGAACTTCTGCATTCAGGATCTATAGACATATTTAAGCAGAAGCATCAGTCTGTGGTCTTTCACCTCCTGCTAAAGAATCAAACTGTTCATTTTCATCTACACTGTAAAAAGAAAACGGTTATTTTCTGCCAGCTGGGGCGCCGCGGAAACCCCATGAAATAACAGAAAATGAGTTTCTAATAAAAATACGGTTATTTTCCATTAATAAAATAGTTTGACATGTTTTAAACAATTAAATGGTGTAAATGTATGTTTATCCCCGGAACATAATTACAGTAAAGGTCAAAGGGGGAAACAGGATCCTTCTTCCAATAAAATCAGACATTTATAGATTAAATCCTTTTCTAACTTCAGTTTCACTGAGATGCTCAAATAAAATTATAAATTTTACCAGAAATGACTCTAACTAGATATAAGAAATAAATGTAAAATTCCAAATTAAATGTTTATTTTACTATTATAATCTTAACTATAATTTATTTATTTTTTTACTTTTTAGAGTTTTAAAGTTATATTTACAGTTTATTCCATTAAATAACGAACATTTGTGAAATGAAAATACAGTTAACACATTTTAACAGTAAATTAACTGTTATTGAGCAGAAATATTACAGTGATTTAATGTTAATTCACATTTATAAAGTCAGTCTGCTAATTAAATGCTATTTTAAGAATACAGAAAAAAGTGGAAACAGTAAAATTCTGTTTTCCTTTATTTTTTTTACAGTGTACAGCGTAAGCAGCTCTGCTTTTTCTTCTAGCTGTGTTTCGCTAGCCGCTTGTTTTTCATGACTACAATTAAAAAACTGTGATTTGTGGAAAATCAGAGACATTCTGTCTGCATCAACACCCCCCCCCCAGCAGAATGAATGCGCCGCTCTGTAACGGTGGGATTATGGATTATGCCGGAGCATAAACCCGCTGTGGATTACTCATCTGCTTGGTGATAATCCCCTCAGAGTTTAAGTAACGCGCCACAGAGAATTACAGCGAATGTTTCCGACTTTCATCTGAAAATTTCTTCCATCAGCAGAACCTCTTTATTCACCTCAGTAACCAAATGTACATTTATTTTATTTTTTTTAGATTTGTTTTATTAACAGAAGCTATAACAAGATATTTATGGTGTATAGCAAGCATTTATAATTATATTGAAACATTGCATTTTATAAAGCAAACTTATTGATATAAAGTCTTACAAACACAACAAGGAAGATGGATTTTGAAATGCACCTGGATTTATTTACAATAAGCCCAGAGGAACAAAGTTTGCTCTAAACTTTGTGACCAATCCAAGCAGAGCCTCCAGGTGCCGTTAGTCGGCGACCATCTGACTGTTATTACCTTTATTTTCTCTTCATTTTAAACAGATTTCTATTTATCTCAGCAATGAATTATGGGAGTGAAAAAGGAAAACCTGAAAACTTGTTTGATAGCAGAGTCTCAGATTTCCCATAATGGCAGTTAAACCGTTTTTATGTCATTAAAGGCTGGTCCACACAACAGGAATCTAAACTGACACCTCAGATACTGAGACACTTTCTAATAACCTTCAGGATTACTTTAACAGAGTTCTCCTCCCCTAAAAGAAGGTTCCACTTCAGTAGATCTTTATCAGATAGTGCAGTTATACATTTTAAAGAATCTGTTTCACTTTCTCTCTCCTCTGTGTCGCTGAGCAGTGCTGCAGAGTGCAAAAGCTTAGTTTATTCTCCTTCACAGGTTGATGATGTTGTTGATGGGGTTGCTAGTTCTCTGCGTACTGCCTTAGACAACGCAGCTCCTTTGAAAATGAAAACCGTTAAAAATAGAAAGCTTGCTCCTTGGTTTAATGCAGAGCTGCGCCCTTTGAAGCAAAATGCTAGGAAACTAGAGAGAAAATATCACTCCACAGGCCTACGGGAATC